TAAAGGGATAGTTCACCCAAACGTGAAAAGTCTGTCATTATTTACTCACCCTCATGTCATTGCAAAAATTTTTCTTTTGTCCGAGAAATAAAAAAAGAAAATATTTTGAAGAGTTTTTCCAATTTTTGCCCTCCAAAATGCAGTTTCCACTCATTTTGTTAGTTTGACAGTCAAAAAAAAAAACTATATAAAATACTTTTATAAGAATCTCATGTCATCATTTACAGCACCTTTTCTTTTGGGTGAAAACATTTTATGTGTCTCCAGTAAGTGCCATGTAGGCTACATCAAAGCAGCGATTATAGAACCTGGAAACTCCTGGCCAAAAAAAAAAAAAACACATGAGGTAACAGAAGTCCAGAGGGACACCTCCTGCCAGCCTCATCCACTGTCTCTTTTATGCCATGTAGGCTACATCAAAGCAGCGATTATAGAACCTGGAAACTCCTGGCCAAAAAAAAAAAAAACACATGATGTAACAGAAGTCCAGAGTGACACCTCCTGCCAGCCTCATCCACTTAATGTCTCTTTGAGTTATTCCACAGACAATTATGTCTCCATTTCTGTTACCATGTATGGCCTCTGTGTACTCCTTTATGACAATGAATCCCCAGCATTTATTCATTCTGCATTTCAGAGCTCTAGGGCTTGTATCTGAGAAGTAAACACAAAAAAGGAATGAGGGAGTGACAAAGAATGACATATACCATCAGGATTCGGTGCTGGATGGGTCTGATTTCAATATGGGCGGACAGCCAGGATAACAGATGGTCATGTGATGACAGCAGCAAGTAATTTACACTAATAAACACTAGTCCTGTTTCACAAAGGCAACATATTATATTCAGGACCTTAAGGTAGTCTTCTGATATAGAATGAGGCTTTATCTAAAGTGGAAACAAAAGGCTTAATAACAGGATAAGCAAGATGATTGTTTCTGCCTTTGGTTCTTTAACCTATGCCAAACAGACATGCCATTAAAAGGGATCTCTTACTTAATTAGATTTTTTTTCAGGCATGACATTGAATTAATGTGTTACATGTCTGAGTGGAATAATCTGATTTAAAATGAGAGAAAAAAGTGCATTCTGTAGTCATTTTAATATGCATTGTGTATACATGTCATTGATAGCCTATGTGTGAAGAGCAACCCGGAGTAGATTAAATACCTCATAGGATGATTTGGATCTAAATGTATTCGCTCTTTTCATGTGCTCAAATGGTTCTTAGTGGGGTCTTAGCATTAGATTTCTGTGAAATGTGGAGTGCAGTGCGTGAAGCAGGTCTTTGTGCTGTACGTCAATAGGGACCGGAAATTAGTCACTCTTTAAAGTACTTTGAAAACCTTGAACAAAAATGGACAAAGTTAATGGAAGTCATTCATTATTAACCCCCCCCCCACCCCCCCACACACACACACACATGGAAGCCTTATTGATTATCCATTTTGACAAACAAATCCTCCTTTACAGATTTTGTATGCAGAACCCAGTTTAAACCAGATCAATCTTCCATCTGCCTCTTACATTAATTAGAGCAAACCTCATTTAACACTTCAAGATAATGCAAGATTGTGACAAAAAAAGCTTAAAATAAACTAATATAGGTCACTATCCAATGTTAGTAATTTTGCACACAAAGAAACTAGTACATCACAAAAAAAAATAAAAAAAATAAATCGAAATCAGTGTTTTGTCTTCCTTTCCATTATAACATCAAATCATCCACGTAAATTTACTTAAAAAAAGTAAAACTGTAAGACATTTTCTATTCTTCTATATTTATCACATTATTATAGAATAGTACCCTTAAAGTACATTCTCACAATTTCAGTTCATTGTGTTTTTTCGTATTTTTCTGATGCTCTAAAGTGAACTTGAGCTTTTAAAACCCATTTCATGTATAAACCAAGTTTTTTTCATGTTATTTCTTCACTACCATGTAAATTAGCATACAGGGTCAATTAAAAATGCATAGATGCATGGCAGGACTGCGAGTCACAGCTGGTGGACTGTAGTGTTAAAATCACAAGGCAGTCTGTTCTGGAGGGAGAAAATGAGACACTGGATTACTCTAATGGCAAAATCATTAAGCTCAAGAGAGACCCTCGGCTCTTACTTTGTGAAAATGGCTGCTGTGAGTGACTCCATAATCTCTCCTCTGAGTGCTTTTGTGGTGTCTCATTTCAGCTCCCCTGTGGCCGTTTGTGTACACGGCTAGTTGTTTTTGTGTTTCACTGCATATGCAGCAGCGTTAGTCTTCATGTGTTTGTGTCCACGTGCGTCATGCAGCTCATCTGTGGTGATAGCTAGTGTTTACGTTGTACTCTATTGATGTCTCCCACTCCTCATGTTCAGACCATTACGGCACTATTACAGTGTGAAAGTTCTTTGTTCTGCACGGCCATGATGACAGCTGTGGCATGTTGCTGTCAGGTTTAGAGATTTATATAATATGCTGCAGGCTAATAGCAAAAAATGGCAGATGTATCAAATGTGGGAAAGGAACACGGCGTGTAGCCATGGGCTGTTTGTTTGGCTAGTATTTTTCAGATATTTTTCTTGGACTTCGAGGCTGAATAAAACCATGCTCTGATGCTGTGCTGTTTTAACCCCCAGGGCAGGAGAATGACTTTATTGGGGTGGCCTGTGGAGGTCTCTCACAGACCAGTGCTGTTAGACTGTGTGGTGCCATGGTCAGTGCCCTGCTCCTTTTCTGGAGACCTGCGCTTCACCATCAGTTTTGCCTCTTTTCTAAAAATCTTTAGAGAAAGGATGGTGCACTTTTCCACTCACAACATGATTCCATTATCTAGGAAGCTTCTAAAGAGCTGAGATACTGCAGAGAAGGAGATTTGGCCCGTGACATGAGCATGTGGAATCCAGAGAAAGACATTATGTTCCAAATCGTATATTGACAGAGAAGCCGTATGTGTGCCTGGCAGACGTTTTAAGACTCTTTAAGGGGCGCCAACTGATGCAACACTTTTATTTGTGGTGGAGAGCTGAGCATGATTTAATAACTGAGACGTGCTGCCTATAGCTCAGCCGAGGCTCAAGTGTAATTGAGGTAAATGATTGGATCAGTTTGGAGAGCACTCGTGAATATCAACCAGCGGCTTTTCTTCAGTAGTTCTAAATCACATTTAATAACCAGGCCATTCTTAAGCTGGTTAAAGTCTTGTGTCCTTATAAAACCTTCTCACGGTGGAATAGACTTTGATTTAATGGTGAGAGGGTCAAAGAATGAGTTGTTCAGACTGGCTGCCTGTTTGTTTAAAGCTGCTGATGTTAGGTGAGGTTGTGTTGTCTGTTGTTTTCTCCTCACATGTAGGCTAGTTTAACGTCAAAGGCTCAATGTTTTTCCAATAGATGAACCTCTGGAAGTCACATCCTCTGAGCCTCTGTAACCTGTAATGTTACAGCTAATGTTTTCACATGGTCTCTCATTTCTCCTACTTGCTGTAGATCATTATAACATGTTTGTTTTTCTGTTTTTCTGTCACTGTTTCAGTTCATTTGTGTCATACCAATGTGCTTTTTCCATGTCTTTTTTAATGTATAAAAATATAAAATATATAAATTATTAATGTAAAATTATAAAATACATTTAGAAATGTATAAAAAATAATATAAAAATAATTGAGACTTATGCTGTCCTGTTTCTCATATTTTTCTCGTGAGGAAAAAAAAGCCCAGTAATCTCACAACACTCTTATCAAATTCTTATAAAAAAAAAAAATAAAAAAAAAAATAAAATATATATATATATATAGTATTGTAAAATACTATATAGATAATCAAGACATAATTAAGATAAAAAAAACTTAATAACAGCAACTTTTCTAAATTGCATACTTGCCATTGATAATTTAAACTCCCATCCCTCCATTTTATTTTATTTTATTTTATTTTTAGAAGATATTTATCACTGTAACATTGCGTATGCACTCAGTTACACTAGCTAGGATTATAACATAACTGGCATTATTTTTTAATTTAGTACAGTATTGGGACTGTAAGGCCAGAATTTAACTTTTATCCTTTCATATTCATCATACATATTAATCTCTTGATGTATCTCTTCACCATCACTAATGGGGTTCATGGTAAAAACCTTCCCATATTTTCCTCTCTGGTGGGTCCATTTATGTCTAATTTTGCTTTCATTAAAATGAATCCATTCTCTCTTTCCTCTCTTTGCTCTTTCCTAAATGTCACAGCAGGCATATGAATCAATCAATCAAGGGAACATTTACCACTAACGTCATGAATCATTGGCCTTTTAATGTATCAGTCATATAGCCTCACTCTTCCTGTATATATATAGCCTACAGAGGTTCTGTGTGGCCAAACACCTAGACGTTTGTATGCCATCTAATTTACTGTATCCAGGCTGCACTTTTGTTCACAGGCATATGAGGTGAATGAGAATGAAATCTAATGGAATATGATATAGTAATAAACCTCTGCTAAGAATAGAAACATTTTACAATATCACAGTCTATTCCAATCACATGCTGCAGGGGCTCATTCCCATACTGAAATAGACATTGCTGAGTTGCAGCTATACGCATGCAAAGGTTGAAATTATTCTTAAGGGGATGTTTTCCACGGAGCACAGAATGACACAAATCATACTCGTGGTGATTCACTGATTGATTTACTCTTCAATGGTGATGACCTACAGAATAGAGGGAAGGTGGCTGATGGGCGCTGAATCTAATACTTTAACATAGTCGTACTGTAAAAGTATGTGCTGGCTGACTAATGCTATTTATGTATCAGAAATGAATTATGTATGCAGCTATGCTTAGTAAACGCTTCAGGATCATTTTGGATCCTCTGCAAACTCTAAAGCTGTTTCTTGTGCTGTAATGGCTGTGATTTATCCTTTTGTTTTGCTTTTTTGTTTCAGGAACATACTAGGAATTAATTTGAGGGCTTTGTGCCTTCCCTCCAAACACTGAAAAAAAGATCAGTCACATCCAGGCGTACATTAAATACATCATTTATTACAGAATACAAATGGCATGACACTTGTATTTCATAAATACCACTAATATAGACAAATGTTGTTGAACGTACTTCAATGTAGTTCAACAAAACAGTGATAAATCTTGTGCGAAAATAGCTCAAAGAAATGTAAGTAAACATCATACTGGAACAACTATAACTATATATACAGTACACATGCCATGAATTAGGAGTTTCTAAAAAGGTTGTTGAGTGGGAAGCTTTCATTGAACTTTTGCCTACCAAGTGATCATTTGCATTATGAATTTGAAATCTGCTCTTATATCATTAAAGCAATATTCAGTGCATTTTTAGTCACATCTTCATGCATCAGTAAGAAGCTGCCCACACTGTGTCTGTACTTAACAATGTGACAATTAATCTCCTTCCAGGCAAAGTATGCTTTCCAAAATGTCTGTTTCAAACTGTGAAGCAGAACATTTTAATACCAAAAGGTGCCTATGAAATATCGTGGTGTGGTTGGTGTGATTAGACTCTACAAATGTGTATGTATTTGTTAAACTTACTATTGGAAAATTACTTAGTGCACATTAAATGCTGAAGGTGGCATCAATATGATGTCTATAGCGTGATTAACTCCAGAGCATTGCTTAATCACTAACATGAAAGTGCAATTCATGGTAATTTGCATGCAAATAATCTGTGACCTATGTCTAACTGAAAGACATTTATGAATGTAAACACTGTACTCAACAGGTTAAGCGTGTCCACAGAGAAGGCAATATTAATATATAGTCGTAACACAACAGTAAATCACATTACCACAATCAAAGCAAAGATTGCACAAATATTTCATTTAGCACAACGTGGTACAGGTCAGTGTTTCTCACGAGAGGTTACTGTGATCTACTTGCAGAGAAAATCCTTCCCAGAAGGGTGCAGTGTTAACAAATCTGTCACATACACTTTCACTTACTGAAAAAGGACATGCATGCTTTGCGGTGTTTACAGTAACAGAGCATTATTTCAATCTGTATATATATATATATATATATATATATTTGTAATATTTACATATAAATTGACATTGTTTGACTTATGTTTCCAATGTAAAATCTTGTACAGATTTACAGTGCGCCCTTTTAGGAAGCTGGTTTTAAACTGCACTTTGATGTAATGCTTCATTGAAACAGAAATATTTTATCACTACATTTTATCCATGAAAAGTAAACATGTAGAAATGTTTGAAATCCTCAAAGTGTTTTGCTTTGCACATAAAATTGATCAAGACAGCAAAAAGTCACAACTGATATGAAGAGATTTCCTAAAGAGCAAAGTTCACAGTTTTCGACAGCATAAACAGGCTGCACAGTAACAGAGAGACACTTGCCCTAAATTAATAGTTCACAGACACTGACAAGCATTGAAACGGTTTACCATTTACGCAGTTTATGATATGCATGGAACATTAGATTAAACACCTGAAATATGAGTGAGTGAGGAACAGGGAAATTGCTGCGTGCTTTGCACTGCATGCATTAGCTGAGCCTGACAGGAAACTCGATGCCTCCTAATTTATTTATCTTTCTAGATAAGGTTTTTTTTTTTTGAGGGAGTCACATAATAACTTTGATAAACACTGAAATTCAGGGATTTACACAGAGGCTTGTTGGACTTTTGTTGCTCATTTGTTGAGACTTGTTGCTCATTTGTACTGGAAAATGTTAAGAATATTCCTAGGGTGAATAATTGAGGATTTGGCAGCATTCAGGACTGTGCCTGCTGAGGGAACCGAAATGACATAATGCAGATCAAAACGGGCCACCAGAGAAGTTCTGTTATCGTACATGTTTTAAGCAAGAGATACAGATTTTTGTTTATGCTGTGAATGCCATATTGTGCATTAGCATAAAATGGTTTATATTTGTTGACTTCCATCTAAGGTTACTCAGCTTAAGAAATCACATGACTAAAAGACTGAACTTTATAATTAAGCAATTTCCTTAAAGAAGCTGGTATGTACATATGGTTCCTCTTCCTCTTTCATTGTGGTAAGAGGCTTTGTTTCTGTGCTGACTTACCAATTGGGTCAGTTTTTACCCAGACATTTTTAGATGTACTCTAAAACAGGGCTGTGGCAGGTGTACAGTAATTTTTTTCTGTTACTCTGTTAATCTAAGGGAAGCAAATCATTCTTTAAAACTGCAACTCAGTTCCTCAGTTTAAGCAAGATGACAGAAACATGACTCAGAAGGAATGTCCCTTTAGTGAACAACCACTTCAAAGTATCTTTTTGCTATCAAAGAAGTACAATCTCTGCAAGCATTTCTGTTCATTTAACACTGACTTGATAAGCATTTTTAGCTTCTAGTTCGCCGTTTTCTTTAGCTGAAACTACTTTTTGAGGGCGCAAACAGTTTTATGAGCGAGGTCATGGTGAAATGAACCGATAGAGCAAGTGAATCTAGACGAGAAAGCAATGAGGTAGATGAGGAAAACAAACATTTAAAAATGTCCCTTTTTCCAACACACACCCACCGTTGGCCACTTACCAGAGGAGGCATAACCTGTCCTTATGTGACACATTGAGAGGTCACAGTGGAACGAGTCTGGACTCGCAAGGTGATTTACAACACACTCATTATGTTTTTACTGCAGTTCCCATTAGAGTCCGTTTTATCTGCTGACATGCATCCCTCTTTCTCAGAGTTGCCCTCAGCTGGGTCACTGTCTTCTGAGCTGCCTTTGCTTCGCCCTCGGTGCTCACTTTGCCAGCTGTGCCCACTATATGTATATCCATTGACTGGCCTAATGTTAGGGTAGCGCGACCTGTTGAGGCATAGGATCTCCTTGAAAGTGTACCTAAACTCTGGACTTCTACAGTAGATCAGTGGGATATATATATATATTCGTTCTCGTGTGAATGACAAACTGAACTTAACTGATATTTTTATCAAAAGCGACTTATAGAAGAAAATAAAGGAACATAAGGAATTTGTCACAGACTAAGGGAAGCAAATCATTCTTTAAAACTGCAACTCAGTTCCTCAGTTTAAGCAAGATGACAGAAACATGACTCAGAAGGAATGTCCCTTTAGTGAACAACCACTTCAAAGTATCTTTTTGCTATCAAAGAAGTACAATCTCTGCAAGCATTTCTGTTCATTTAACACTGACTTGATAAGCATTTTTAGCTTCTAGTTCGCCGTTTTCTTTAGCTGAAACTACTTTTTGAGGGCGCAAACAGTTTTATGAGCGAGGTCATGGTGAAATGAACCGATAGAGCAAGTGAATCTAGACGAGAAAGCAATGAGGTAGATGAGGAAAACAAACATTTAAAAATGTCCCTTTTTCCAACACACACCCACCGTTGGCCACTTACCAGAGGAGGCATAACCTGTCCTTATGTGACACATTGAGAGGTCACAGTGGAACGAGTCTGGACTCGCAAGGTGATTTACAACACACTCATTATGTTTTTACTGCAGTTCCCATTAGAGTCCGTTTTATCTGCTGACATGCATCCCTCTTTCTCAGAGTTGCCCTCAGCTGGGTCACTGTCTTCTGAGCTGCCTTTGCTTCGCCCTCGGTGCTCACTTTGCCAGCTGTGCCCACTATATGTATATCCATTGACTGGCCTAATGTTAGGGTAGCGCGACCTGTTGAGGCATAGGATCTCCTTGAAAGTGTACCTAAACTCTGGACTTCTACAGTAGATCAGTGGGTTAAAGGCTGAGTTAGCGTAACCTATCCAGTTTAAGATTTTGAATGCAATATTGTTCAGTTCTTGGCCATATATGGCCGTGACCACATGTAGTACAAAGAATGGGAGCCAACACAGCGTGAATATACCCATAATGATACCCAAAGTCTTCAAAGCTTTATGTTCCTTTAAGCAGAACTTGGGTTTCTTGGCAGTCCTTGCCTCACAGTGGATGCTTGCCGCCTCTTGCTTTTTGCTGTTGTTCTTAGCATGAAATCGTCCCTCACTTTTGTCTATCTTCTTCAGCTGCTTCCTTGCCTCCTGGAAGACACGGCTGTAGACGAAAATCATGATGACCAGGGGGATGTAGAAAGAGATTATGGATGAGATGATGGCATAAGGGCGATTGGTGTTGAAGTCACAACAGGTAACATTCTTCAAGCAGCACTTTGCAACATTACTATCGGAAATCCACCAACCCATATGGATGGGTAGGAAGGAAATGAGCCCGGCGATGACCCACACCAGCAGCACAATGATGCGAGCTCTGCCTTTGGTCAGTAAGGACTGGTAGCGGAAGGGGGATGTTATGGCGATGTAGCGATCCAGAGCGATGACACAGAGCGTCTCGATACTGGCTGTGACACATAGAACATCGGTGGCCGTCCAGAAATTACACCAGAATTTGCCAAAGTGCCAAGTGTCAAGGATGATGAAAATGGCGCCGAAAGGCACCACCACCAATCCCATTACCAGGTCTGCACACGCAAGTGACGTAATGAAGCAGTTTGTGACGGTCTGAAGTCGTTGGAAGCGGCCAATGGCTGTAATCACTAACACATTGCCGAAGACGATGACCAGAACAAGAATGGACATGAGTGTGCCCAGAATCACCATCTGTGGTTCACCAATGTTGGAGGAGTTAGATGTTAAATTCTTACACTCGTCAGGTGCAGGGGAAGGTGTGGTTTCCATGACCTGACAGAGATTGAGAAGGAAAAGCAGAAATATGCTGAATTAGTAAAAAAACACACACACACAAAGGCTTGTGTACTGAAAATGTAAAAATGTAAACAGTAATTAAACAAGTTGTAAAAACAGTGCAACTCAATGCAAAGATAATGCTTTTTTTTTTTTTTTACAAACCTCCAAAAAAGGCTTCCAACTCCACTCCTCCTTCCATATAAAGTTACAGTATGCTTTTAAGGTCTGTAGGTTTGTTACAAACAAGTAGATCCTTCCCACATTATGGCTTTCACTTGCGTGCTTATCTCTCTCTCACTTTTGCTCTCTCTTCCTCTGTCACCACAGCAGTCTTCTCAACCTTTCTCAGACACAGTCACTCTGTTGAGCGAATATTAGTGTACCATCCCAGATTTATTGGAAAGCTAGGAATCAAGCTAGACCAGAGGTGAAATGCAAGGAATATGAGGAAATTTATATTAGTTTTTTGTTTGTGTATGTGTATCTGCGTTTGAGGTTGTGGACTCAAGTTCTTGAAGTGCTTCAAATTTCAGTGCTTTAAATTTCGAAGGTCTGCTTTGGTTTTGTCCATGATCCAGAGATGAAACTCTGTGCATGTCTTAATTTGTGGATTTTGTGAAACAATGCCCATATCATTGTTTGAGTTGCTGGCTTTGCTTCCTGTGGGTCAGACCTGCTGAGCAGGTCTGGACAGTCTTTATATGCTAGAGAGAGTAAAAGATCTTAGTGCCGATTACTATTGTCCATGTATCATCTGAATGTCCAGAATCATGCCTCCAGCACCACTAAAGCCCAAATACCTTTAGTGTTTTTAGCTTATTATATAACTCGAATGTAAAAAAAACAAACAGTCATGCTTAAAAATGAAAATCACCAAAAAATGAAAACACCCCATGGTTTCAAACCTGTATGATTTTTTTTTTTTATAAAAAAAGGTTTGGAACACCGTGAAGGCGAGTAAATGTCTTTCAGTGTTTTAAAATGACCAAGGTGCTGCACAGCCAAAAAATATTGACCAACAAATAAAAACATCATAAAGACACATAAAATTTAAGATCCTTAAAAACTAACTATATAAATGAAAAGAAAGAATATATATATATCACCAAACAAAGAAAACATAAAAAAACAAAAGAATACAAAGACAAATATAAAACAAAACAAACTAACAAAAAATAAAATTGTGCTGTTTATTGTAAATCTTGCAGTTCTCTTCAGCATATAGCCATATGTACTGTATGTGGCCATGGTACCAGTTTTACTGTAGAGTTTGATTAGTCTTAATGAATGAAAATTAGCGGGTGGACTTTGAGTACCCTTGGAACATGGAGATATGAGTAGTGATCAATAGCTTTCTTCACCACTTTCTCTACTATGTGTGGTTTGTCTGTGTGCTCTCTGATGGCCATGTACTGTGTGCTACAATATGGATATGAGGTGAAGATCAGATAAGATGTGGCAGTGTCATGTCTGCAGAGATATTAGAGGAGGGGTCTGTGAATTTGAGTAAGATGGCTTCTTTTGAAAGTTATTGTGGAGAAGGAGGATGTATGTAGAAGTCGGAATGTGACACATGAATGGGACTACAGCAGGGGTGCCCAATCCTGCTCCTGGAGGGCCACCTTCCAGCAGAGTTTAGCTCCAGCCTAATTTAACACACCTGAACCAGCTAATCAAGGTCTTCAGGATCACTTGACAACTTACAGAAATTTCATGGGAGCAGCATATTTAATTTGTTTTTGCCATCTGTGGTTTCAGACTGAATAAAGAAGCTGCCAAAAACAAAGGGTGTGGTGCTTGTTTGTTCAGTTGTCAAATAAAGCTGTGATAACTTAATGATTAGTTGTTGAGTCAATAAATCTAGATTTTTTTGTTCTCAAGCCACTGAACTCTGTGTACCAACTTTGTTTTAGTCATATATAGATATAATTTTATAATTTTATAACATTTCTTTCATTTAAGTTATTCATCTAATATTAATATTTTACTATTGTACTAATTATTATTTTAATGAACAAAACTGTTTTAATTTTAGTTTACAGTAACACTGTTGAGCACAATGAGGCATTGTCTCTGTCTCTGCGTTATTTGAGACTTCTGTTTATGGAATGCTTGGTACTGGTAGTTCCTGAAAAAGACAGTTTAAAAGTAACTTGTTTGCCACCAGCTCACAATGGTCCATCTTTTTCAATGAAAAAAGCAATCTAATGCCATGACCAATTGCTTGACCAGCATAATCGCATAATCGTTACATAATAATAATCGTTGAGGGTTAAGTCTGGACTGATGATCCAAAAACTGTGGTAAGAGTGATCTATGAACTGAAAAATAACTGAGAATGCATTGCACAGCAGAGCTCTTAAGTACAAATTGCTCCAGGTCCAAGTAGTAAATGTACTGATAAGTGCTCTGGGTAACAAAACATGTCTGCTAGATAAGTTACAGTATATAAAGTTAAATACCTTAATTTTTATTCCCTTTGGAGAAACTGGTCACCCTGAGATTAAACAGGAACAACCAGGAATTAAATTCCTTTCCCTTCAAGGACAGACCGAGAATGTTAAACATGACCATGTGAATAGGGCAGTCGTAGCCTAAAGATTAGAGTGTCGGACTTGTAATCCGAACGTTGCAGGTTCGAGTCTCAGGTTCGGCAGGAATTGTCGGTGGGGGGAGTAAATAACCAGTGCTCTCTCCCACCCTGAATACCACAGCTGAGGTGAGACCCTTGAGCAAGGCACTGAACCCCCAACTGCTCCCCGGGCGCCACAGCAATATGGCTGCCCACTGTTCAGGGTGTGTGTTCACAGTGTGTGTGTGTGTTCACAACTTTGTATGTGCACTTGGATGGATTAAATGCAGAGCACAAATTCTGAGTATGGGTCACTTCACGTCAACCAAACTTTACATATCAAATTTTATGCAAACAGGGATGTCTTTGATGAATGTTTACAAGAACAGCATTTATCTAACATAGAAACAATTTGTAACATTATAAATGTCTTTACTGTCACTTCTGGTCAATTTAATGCATCCTTTCTGAATAAAAGTATTCATTTATTTATAATTTTAAGCACAAACATACAAATTCAGGCAATTTATATATATATATATATATAT